GAGAGGCGTTGTTTGGACAGAGGGTTTGGAAAGTAACTGGGAAAAATTGACAGAAGAATGAAGAGAAGGACTGAGCGAAAGAGTTCCAGGGGCACATGTAGAGCCAAAGGGAATTTGGCCAGAGCCGAAGGTGAAGGGAGGTGGAGCAGAGAGTGGCGCAGTTGCAGAAGAAACAGGCAGTTTTGCGCCGAACTGGAACAGGTTACTGACGGGAGGAGTGAGAGCAGGGTCAGAGATGGTCGAAATGGCAGTCCCAGCAGAGGGAGTAGGAGCAGCAGCGCTGGGTAATGGTTGGGGCGACCAACATGCTGAAAAATTAAAAGGAGGCATGCCTGGGCTGGAAGTGACTGAAGTAGTTGAAGCGACTGGCACAGAAAGGTCAGGAAGTTTAGTCGGCCTGGGAGCAACGATTGGAGAGGAAATTGAGGCATGCGAGGGTGCAGATAAGAGGGAAGTACTTGGCTGGTCTGTTTTTGGTGGAAACATAGGGATCTGGGAGGGACTCGAAGGAGCTGGGTGCATGGCGGGAGTTGAAGGTTTTGATGAGAAATTAAAGCCGGTAAAAGGAGCGGGTGAAGCAGTGGCAGATGTTTGGGCTGCCGGTGTAATAGAGGAAGAGATACCAAATTTAAAAGTGGGCGGGGTGACCAAACTTCCAGGTTTCAAAATAGAATCTGCATTGCTGGAAACTGGCTGAAACGAGAAACCCTTGAATCCGGATGTCGTGGAACTGGAAAGTGTAGTTACAAGAGGTGATACTGATGCAGCGCTAGGGAGAGGGTGTTTATGAAGTTGTGGTTCATTGTCGATGGAGTTTAGCGCAGGCACTCCTGAGGAACCAAGGTTCAAGGAAGGCTGCAAGGGATTACTTGATGTAGGTAGCTGTGGCTGAATGATGCCAGGCGTTGAAGTGAAGCTACCACATGGGGCAGAAGGTGGTTCTACAAGCTTTAATTTATGCGTCGCATCCGAGGATACACCTGCTGAAAGAATACGTGAAAAACAGGTTCGAGAGATATCAAGACAAGAATATAAAAGCATTATGCTATTTAATGAAAAAATTCTTTAACATGCCAATATAATAAACTTACGGTCGCCAGGAGATAACCCTTGGGTAAAATCCTTTTGGACAGATCCCGTAAATATAGGACTTGTGGTGATTTGACTACATAACGATGCTGCAGGAGAGGCGGAGTCATATGGTTTTTTCATCTTCCCAGACTCGATAGATGAACTAGTGGTTGCGCTAGAGAGCACAGCACCAGGAGCTGAGGGAGGCCTTTCAACGGCAGTAAATGACGGTTGAGATTTTTTGGGTGATTCCTTTTGCGGAACCTGCTGAACCTGGACGGAATCTGGAGCGAAAGATGACAAAATCCTACGGATTTTCTGTATTCTCGACTCCATGACAGCATCCCCAGAACCTATGGGAACAGTATCTGCTCGCGAAAAGGTAGAGGCCCCTTTATACAGATTACGCCTAGCGGTAGCACGAACTCTGCCATTAAGGCCGTTTAAAAAATCAGTGATCGAGGACACACGTTTTGGAGCGGGTATAGGAGAGAGAAGGATGGTCGGTAGCCTGGGTGGCCCGCTAGAAGAATCGTCTCGTTTGATTCGTTTGGCCATAGCCTTTTCATCTTGCGAATTGACGACAGGTGACGCCAAATCTGAATCATCCAAATCTACACAGGTTGATAGTCCATATGTACTAGCCGGGCGTCTTTGAGGCCCGACCGGGCTTGGAGCATTATCGCCATTTGATTTGGAGCGATTCTGAGAAATGCGAACCTGTTCCTCAAGCTCTACTGACGACATAAACATGGCACGCCGACGAATCAAGCTGGAGGTACTATAAGGTGAGCTCCGTGATGTCTGAGGGCCATCATGGCATGCTCGCTGATTCGTCGTAGCGGGTCCTTCACTATTTGAATTGGCGACAGGACTAGATGTGGGGAAATTTGGGGTAGATTCATTTATCCTGCAAAGCGGAGACTGGGTAATGGGTAGGCCATTTTCATGATTTACTCGTGGGGAGCTCCTATTATCAAGATCTCTTATTTCATTCAGAGAGGTACAAAAATACTCATCTAGTTTCTTGTCTGAAGACAAATGGAAAACATCCGCAATGTTTTGACAGCTGTTATTGCTCGCTAAACGCCTCCGCTTACCCTCCCTGGGTAATATCGGCTCCTCATTGTGTCGTTCTTCTGCGGACCTTTTTTTAGATTCAAGTATTCTCAAGGCTTTTTCTATGGTAGAAGGAGGGTTTAGATGTTGCACAAATTTCCTGGGTTTGTTCACAGGACGACATTTCAAATTAAATGAGCCGAAAGGGGAGGCCGGTTGAAAATTAAAAAGTGAGGGGGCTGTAACTAGAGGTTCGCGAGTCAGAAACTTTGATGAAGCGCTCACGTCACTTTGAAGGCTATGTCTACCAGAGTTGCTGCTAGTCCGAGAACCATATCCACGAAAAGAGCCTCTTCGTGACTCAGCTCTTGACTCCGGAGGCAGCAAAATTCTAGAGAAGTAAGGTTGAGAAGAATGGGGATTTATTGATTGAGTTTTATAGCATTTTGAATCAGGCATGCCTAAAATACAACATTAGCGGTCTCAAGAGGGTGAAATACGTAAAAGTAAAAAACAGCGGGAAAAGAGAAGAGCTAGAAGCTAGAAGGTAGGCGAGGTAGAAAATAAAAACAAAATTTAGCAGAGTCAAATAATATAAAACAAAGTGATAATAATATAAGATGCTATTACATTTTTAGTTTAATAAAATATTTATTTAGGTATAATAATGCATTGGTTTTGTATATATATACGTAATATTTTACATCATGTCTCTTCCCATTCGACTCTTCCATAACTTGCATTTAGATTTCTATTACTTTCATTTTGAAACAGCATATATTGTCTACCAAGGCTTTTTTATTTTACATTTTTAAAATGGTTTGTTTGGCGTTTGATTTTCTCCATAATTTTTACCTAGTTGCTTAAGTTATGCAAAGTAAATGAATAGATGATATAACAATCTCTGACAAAATAGGGAATTTTGATACAATAAATCAATTTTTAACCTTGATATGGCGCAAAAAACTGTTTATACTTTTTTCAATCACGGAACCCTTTTGATATGAATTTTTATATACCATTTTAGTATTATTAACGTATAACTTATCATCATGTTTAATTAGTCCAATCTTAACTTTTTATTGTACTGCACTATATATGTAATGCCTTTAAGACATCGCATATGCATTATTTTAGGTACTTAACTCATTTTCTTTTTTTTATGTATTCTTCTTTGAGAGTTAAGCATGCCGTCGCTTGACGCCGTTAAAAATGGATCGCAGTGACTGCCCTAA